AAATAAATAAATAATTAATTAAATAAATAAATAAATAAATAAATAAATAAATAAATAAATAAATAAATAAATAAATAAATAAATAAATAAATAATTTATTAAATAAATAAATATAAAGTGTGAGCTCCTACAGATCATGCCGTTGACGGTGCCGAACAGCACGGAGCCCTGCGTGGGCGTGGAGCTCTCGCCCAGGTTCTGCAAAACCAGCGACCCGTGGCAGAACACGTTCACGAACTCGCCCAGGTGGAACACGCCCACCTCCTGCAGGTGCTGCCGCTCCTCATCCGTGGTCGCCGCGCTGCCCAGGGCAGAAAGAAAAAACAAATATGTTTATGTTTATTTTAATGCATTTGGCAGACGCTTTTATCCAAAGCTTTTTTATCCCACACTTTCCTGATACAACAACAGGTCTAAAAAACTGGACTGGATAGAAAACTGCCAAAGAAAACGATATTGAATTGAATTGAATTGAAAGCCTTTATTGTCATTATATACAGTGGGGGAAATAAGTATTTGACCCCTTGCCTATTTTGCAGGTTTGCCCACTTAAAAAGAATGCAACGATCTATAACTTTAATCATATGTACATTCTAACAGTGAAAGACAGAATCCCAAAGAAAATTCCAGAAAATCACATCATATGAATTGATAAAAATTGATAACCATCTGATGAGGAAAAATAAGCATTCTTTGTAAGTGGGCAAACCTGCAAAATCAGCAAGGGCTCAAATACTTATTTCCCCCACTGTATATATCTTATTGGCAACAGAAAATCAATCAGCTTTTAAGACTCGGACATTTGGATGAGGAAAAATAGTGGCTAACCTTGTATTTGTCTCAAAGCTCTGGACAGGCCAGCTAACCCTAACCCTAACCCAGGAAACACCAGCTGAGGGATATGTGTCTGTTTCTGTTTCAGCATTTGGAAGACGCTTTTATCCAAAGTAGGGCTGCAACGATTCGTCGACGTTGTCGACAAAAATCGATAATAGAAAAAGTCGACAATGAACTCCATTGTCGACTATTGTCGCCAGACGTGTTTTTCCAACAGAGTGAGACATCTCACTTAATTACAATCTGCCCAGAGTCACCTGCACAACAGCGTCGCGGTTACAGAAATGGCGGCGTCCAACACGCGCACAAAAACTTCCAAAGTTTGGGAGCATTTTATCCTTGATACGAGTAAAAAAAAATTACGTGCAAAGTTTGCAAAACAGACCTTGCGTATCACGGCAGCACCTCGGTGATGCATGAGCATTTAAAAAGAAAGCATGTTGGGCACTTAAATGAAACGGAGTCTGACTCGCCTCGGTAAGATTTAAGCAACAATAATGCTAATATGTTTTGTCTTTTATGTACGTTATACATTTTCTAAGCGTTTTTTCACTTTAAAAGAGAGCTTTAACGTTATGCCTGACAAACGCATTCTTATTTACGTTTTGTATCAGCTGCAAAGTTGAATAAAAGATGCATTTTTCATTGAAGTACCCATTTTTCTTGTGTTTATCATTTTCCACTTAACTAAAGCAACTTTATGCTATTTTTAAGAAAAAGTGGA